AACATGGTTATTTTATAGCTCTGTAGATACCGGGGTTAATTTGTCAAACTTTATCCAGTAGTTTCAAATAATGTCTGTCCAATGGAAGAGATAACCTCTAAGTTTACTGTTTATTACACCTTAAGACACTAAACTAGTTTTATATCTAATCCTCTGATTTATCCCAATATTTATTTATATATTGAATATATAATATACATCATTAGCTCCTCAAATGCTCTTTGTGCTAGTTTTAACATCTTACTGGTTCCCTAATTAATAAATGGATTGAATAAAATCCTTGACTTTTTCATTTTACCTCTTTATGAAAGTTGTATCAATATTTTTAACTCTTTCAGAATGATACTTTAACATTCTGATAATTTTCATTAGCTCTCAAGATCATCCTATGTTCTAGTGAACTTACCTAATGAAACTTAGTTCACTGGTAAATAATCTTATGTGCTTACTTCAAAATCTGATACATCACATGGATGATTTGCCTTTCCTGTTTTCTATAACCACATCACCCCTACCTGCTATCCAAGTCATTACATGGCCGATTCTTATTTTTTAATAGGTCCCAATCCAGGCTTGGCCTTCATGACTTTGTAACAAGTTATTTGTGAAAGTTAGCTTTGCTAAAACTACTTAATAAGGCATTACACAATTAGAAAAATATTTAATAGGTCAAATTTCTTTTCCTCTATCCTTATCACTCTGAAAGTAGCCAAAATATAGTACAAGGCTTTACATTTATAATACACTAAGTTCAACAGAGAGAAAAATATTCTGAATGTCCCAATGAAGGGTTAAATTTAATAAAAAATAATGGCACCCATAAGTCATAATAGCATTAAGTTATGCTACAAAAAATTTTTTGTAAGAAAAAAACTGAAATAGAACGTAGACAATAGTTTTTTTTTTTTTTAAACAATAATTGTTCTTCTTTTTGCTACTATAATATGACACTTTCCAAGAATGACAGCAAGTTTCTGAACATTCATAGGCTTCATTTTTTCTTAAGGAAATCTTTTCTTCTAGCTAAAGCCAAGTGTTTCTTCATTATTCATATCTCCATTAAAGGAGAACCATAATAAAAGAAAAAAGAAGCATTTCTAAACATTATTTTGTATGATTAGAATGTTCTATAATTTGGTATTATTTCTTATTCATCCTTTCATGCAACCTTATTGTTATTTTTAGCAATTTTATTGTAAAAGATAGATGAAACACTGACATTAAATAAATGAAATGAGAAAAATTGGTAAGGTTGCATAATAGAGTTTAAGAACGTCATTTCATCCACTTGCTGAATAAATAAAATATCAGCACACATTGCCAACAAACACATGAAAGGATGCTCAGCATCACTAATCATTAGAGAAATGCAAATCAAAACTACAATGGGGTATCACCTTACACCAGTCAGAATGGCCATCATCAAAAAATCTACAAACAATAAATGCTGGAGAGGGTGTGGAGAAAAGGGAACCCTCTTGCACTGTGGGTGGGAATGTAAATTGATACAGCCACTATGGAGAACAGTATGGAGGTTCCTTAAAAAACTAAAAATAAAACTACCATACGACCCAGCAATCCCACTACTGGGCATATACCCAGTAGTGGGATTTGAACCGTATTATGAACCATATTATGAACCATTATGGTTCTTTTTGAACCATAATTCAAAAAGAGTCATGTACCACAATGTTCATTGCAGCCCTATTTACAATAGCCAGGACATGGAAGCAATCTAAGGGTCCATTGACAGACAAATGGGTAAAGAAGATGTGGCACATATATAGAATGAAATATTATTCAGGCATAAAGAAACGAAATTGAGTTATTTGTAGTGAGGTGGATGGACCTAGAGTCTGTCATACAAAGTGAAGTAAGTCAGAAAGAGAAAAGCAAATACCATATGGTAACACATATATATGGAATCTGAAAAAAAAAAAAAATTGGTTCAGATGAACCTGGGGGCAGGACAGGAATAAAGACGCAGACATAGATAATGGACTTGAGGACACGGGGAGGGGGAAGGGTAAGCTGGGACAAAGTGAGAGAGTAGCGTTGACATATATACACTACCAAATGTAAAATAGCTAGTAGGAAGCAGCCGCGTAGCACAGGGAGATCAGCTCGGTGCTTTGTGACCACTTAGAGGGGTGGGATAGGGAGGGTGGGAGGGAGACGCAAGAGGGAGGGGATATGGGGATATATGTATATGTATAGCTGATTCAGTTTGTTATAAAGCAGAAACTAACACACCATTGTAAAGCAAGCATACTCCAATAAAAATGTAAAAAAAAAAAGACTCAAAAAAATAAAAATAAATAATTAAAATATCAGTGTTGGCTAACATAATGTAGAAAATTGATGATATTCTTTCTTCACTGTCATTGGTAAATAATAGAGAATATAGAGTCAAAGGGGAAGGAAATAAGATGACACAAACTTCTGTTCTTAGTGAGATTTCCTGTAACATGGTATTTAATTTGAGTTAGAAAAGTAAAATCCTGTTCATCTGAAACATTAAATTTTCTGTAAAAGTTTCTGATAAACACTAAAAATAAAGCTTAATCATTTAGTTCCTATTCATGTTCCAACGGTCTTCCCTCAAGCTTACATTTATGATTAGTTTTCCTTAAAAATAAAATGAGTTTGTACCAGATCAACCATCATGGATTTAGGTGCCTTTAGATATTAGCTAGCATAAGCTGATTTTTTAAAAAAATTGAGGTCAGATTTGGTTGGCCCAAGGTCACACTGATATATCGCTTATTGTCTACTAGTGGCATTTGCTGAACATTACCTTAGGCTACATTTTTAGTATTCCCTCTGGCATGCTGAGATTAGATGTGACATTTCTTGGCCAGAATAAAACACAAGGTCGATTCTAAAGACTATAATACTATATTTTTTCCCTGCAACTTCGCATTTGCTTATCTACAGTACACAGCAGTTAGTTTGAAAGCGTGGGACTTAAGAACCACTACTGGCACATGCTAAATCCTTCTCCTTACAGGATGCCTCCCCACACTGTCCCAGCATGTATAACTATCTCCTGAACCCTCAGCAAAATCCCTGAGGAAATAACCACAGCGGAGGTCAGAATGCTCCAGCTCCTACTGTAAGAGGTTGAGGGAATTTATCCTCCCACTGCCTGGGGAAGGTGACAGTTTCATCAAGAAAATCTCCCACTGAGATAATGTTATAAAGGATGATTGGCATATGTAAATCTATGAGGACTATTATTCAACTCTATTATGAGTTAAAAAGATTTTGTAGAACACCAAATAATTATCAATTATTTATAAAAGTACTTAAGAAAGAAAACCCACTGGTAAGTTTGTAATAGGAAGAACAATTTTGAAACGTCATGAATTTTGCTTGATATTTTATTTTTCTTCCTAAAGCCTTAGAAGAAAAAGTAATAATAATAAAAACCCACCTTTGGCCTGAAAGCCAGCTTTGCTCGCATAATCACCCTGTTGTATCCACTTACCCTGACTAAAGTCAATTAGTAAATGAAAATATGAATATGTACTTGAATTTCTCTCTGAATGAAATGCGAGCCTTGTAAAATTCAAGCATTTTTCTCAAGCAAACATGTATATACTTACTAGTTTAAAAAAAACTTTAAAATGACTAATAATCTCCAATACAAAGAGAACTGTCAGTTTAAAATTAAAATACAATTATAGTTACTTTTCTTGGTATGGCTATTGGTACTGAGCTACATGGTACAATAAAATATGCTAAATGTGCAGTTATGAGTTTCCTTCACTTGAAACTAGGTCTTATCTAGAAAGGCACACCTAGAGGTGGGTTTATGATCCTGATTACAGGATTGTATGTATCAGTAATTCAGATAATCTGAAAACTTGAAAACAATACTCTCACTCTTGATTTAAATATTATCTACAAACAACAAATAACTATTAGGAGAAACTCAACAAGAGGCCAATAAGTACCTATTTCCTTCTGTATGTAGCTCTCTGTCTGGGTTGGAATCTAGGAAATGCTGCTCTGTGCTGAAGGAGCCTAAGCTATGCTACTTCAACTCTGTGTTAAATAAAGTGACTGTCAATATCTGGGTTGAAGCTACAGAGCACAGGTAGCTCTTTGTATCTATAAGGGATGCAATGAGCTGTCCAAGCTAACTCAGCAGAGAGAACATTTACTAACAAAATGATTGTAGAGAACCACTGACTTGATGGATGTCTGGGACGGTGTAGAATGGAGGCGCCCAGGACGCAAATGGGAGCAGATTTGAAAGCCTTTAACAGGCTCCTCTTACCCATCCTAGTGTGGTTTATTAGCATGACACAGGCTCCCTGTTTTCTCTCTCTTTAATGATACTGTTCTATGAACCAATGAATGTTTTCATTTGGAAAATAAGAAAGCTCTGACATGTTATCTGGACTGTGGTTTCTTTAGTGATGCCAAGGGAATAAATATGCTAATTCTGTGCTTTAAGGAGTGTATTGGGTAAGGCCCGTTACTTCACTGCTTTCAGTGCATACTAGACCCAGGTGAGAAAAATTTAGTATTACACACCTTGGAATATTTCTTTTTGCAAATGTTTAGCTTAGAAAAGGAGAATTTCAGTGACACTTGGATATACTTTTAGATGGTGATTTTCAGATTACATTCTCCCAAGTTTAACTCATCACTTGTTAATTATGATACCTGAAGCAATTGACCTCAAGCTACTGCTTGATTCTTCATAAAAGAAGCAATTACTATGAAAAGCTACCACATAAATCTTGAAATATTCACAAAAATCTTACACAAATAATATTTTCATAGAGAAATGAAAGACCGTGTTCTTCACATACACGCAAACGTACAAAAAGACATTCCTCGAGGAAATAGTAGTTTCTTGGCACACCAGGGCTTTTACAGCAGCAGTTAAATAACAGCAGCAGTGCCAACTGGAAAGAATTTTCCCTGGCTTTAAAACTGGAACGAAACAACTCTCAACATTTGCAAAACATTCCTTTATTATTAGAAATAAATTATTTGTATAAAAAATTGCATGCGTCAACCATTGCATTTATTTTTTTAGCACAACCCAGGGCTTCAATCTGGTCAGCCATTACAAGAAACAGACTCATTGTCTTATACAAGTTGAACAATGTGCGACAGGAACGGGAGTTCTCACAATCACAGAAAAATACTTACAAGAATAACATCAGACATGGTTTATTTCAACAGCATTTTTTTTTTCACAAGCTAACATTAGTTTTCCTTTTGTGATTTTTTTTTTAACTGCTCATGAGTAAGCAATACTTTAGCTTGACACTCATTGGTTGTATTATATAAAATGGGTTTCTTCACTCCCTGTTATTGATACTTTTGGCTTGTGGCTACTTTTTGTTCCTTACAAGATTGACTATTGATTTGATTGTAGTCTACAGAGATCTCCAGGAGTGAGTGTTGGTGGTGTCACGTTCATTGTTTAAGATCGCATACCACATTTCTTCATATTGTATCATTTCCCTGTTTCAGATTGAATGATTGCTGTAGCTGATATATGTCGTCTTGGTAGAGGAAGCTGTTAAGACAAATTAAGACAAATTATAGTACGGAATAATAAATTAGTTTGTTAAAATGATTTTAAAATTCAGATATTGCAATGACTTTTTATGACATGTGGTCTTTACAACCTGTTACTTATTATTTTAAACAGTGTAGTAGGATTTCAACAATTGTAGAAATAAAAATGCAGAATTTTTAATCTATAAAACCACTAGTCTCATTTATAGTGTAGACATTTGGCAGAAAACTAAAAATGTGAATGCCCTGTTCTTTAATATATTTAGGTGAAATTCAATTTAAATGTGCATTTTGACTAACAGATTTACAATATAAAAAATGAAAGAACAGATGAAATTCTCTATCCTGCAAAATGAAAAAAGAATTTTTTCTTACAACCCACGTTAAAGACCTCAATTCTTTGAGTCTGATTTGATGGCCAAGAAAGGGTTAGTCATTATAATTAGTCATGCTTTGAGAATGAATATATCTTCCATTTAAAAATAGTACTTTTAGACTCTAGAAGTGAACACAGTACAATATCAATGTGTATTGCCAACACATATTTATGGTCTGGTTTCATCCAAAGGATACAAATGGAGATGTTTAAAAAATAAATAAAGACTCAAAGAAGGAACTTATCATGAACTAAACCCATTATTGTAAGATTATTAGAAAAGTATGAACAAGAAAATATTCTAAGTCTAAATATTCTAATTCTAAATATTTCTAAGTCTAAACTTAGAAAATATTCTACGTTTAAGTATATTCATACTTAAATTTCCAGAAATACAAATCTAAATCCAAATAATTACTTTGCATTTTTGAAAGATGTGATGGAATAAATCTGTTTTAAAATTCAAAAGTGATATCTTATTTTTTTCAGTGGAACTCTGGAATGAAAAATCATAAGAAGAAAGAAGAAAAAGTGCAAAATGTATGTATTTCACTATATAAATCCAATTCAGGGTGAAACAGATTTTTAGAGAATAATTTACTTTTGAACACTGAATAAGGAAATTGTAAAGTTTCTTCTCCGAAATAATTGGCAGTTAGACTCATTCCATTGTAGTGTACATGAATACTGGTAATTGACCAGACAAGTTCTTACCAGAGACCAGGATCAGACAAAGTCCACAGTCACTAAAATTAATACAGGGAGCCCAGGAAGTGCTAGCTGTAGAGGTTTTTGCTGTTTTTTATTTCATTGAATATTATGAGCTTCATGCCAAAAACAGGTGGGTCATATCTGCTTATCTTTCTATGTTGCTCACGTTAGGTTATTATTGAGGGACAGTGGAAAGGAAGTAGATCTTAGACTTTTTTTTTTAATAGATCTTTATTGGAGTACAATTGCTTCACACTACCGTGTTAGTTTCTGTTATACACCAATAGACTTGGTTTTAAATTGCATTCTCTTCTCTACAAAATGAGTGAAAAAAAGTCACTGAACCAGGTTATGGGGCCTCAGCTTCATCACTGGTCCACAATCCACAACATTGTGTTTTTGTGAGGACAGAGGCACAGTAGATTTGTGGGGAATGGCTGTTGTCTTAGAGAGTCCATATGGAATGCTACTTTTCTATTTATGCTTCTAAAACGTAGGGTGTCTGTTACCTTTGGTTTGGTGTGAAGTGAAACACAGTGATTTTTATGGTCTTTATTTTTTAATTTTTTATTTCTAATTTATATGATGCTCTCATATGCCTCTAAATATATTCTAAGAAAATGAAATCTGTGCTTCAACTATGCTTTTGAAAGACTTTCATATGATCTTTGTAGACAAGATGGAGAAAAATTATGAGTTAGAAAAACGACCCTTTAAAAGATTGCTCAACTTCCTGCCCTATTCAGTATATTTAACAGCAACTAAAAATGTGAGAAATATCTACCAAATTTGCAGATAGCTAGAAAGAAAAATTATGGTTGTAACAGAGGAACAAGAGCCTAAAGACCTTAACGAAGATGATATTCAGATGTTAATCTTCAAGGATCATTCCAACATCAAGATTCTAAAGCTCTTTAGAAATTATTTCATTGTTTGAACTCTTAGAAGTAACCTCCAGGGAAAAAGATGTAGAATTCTACTGAGAACTAAGACTATAATTTACAAAAAGAAAGTAATCTTAATTTTTCTGATTAGAAAAAGGATGTAAGGCTTTGGAAACATAATTTAGTCAACACTGAAACGATGTGAATGGCAGATATCTTGCAAGAATCTTCCCTTTTCTTTTTTTCTTCCAAGAAGAAAGAAAGATGGATGCTAAAATAATAGAATTTTTGAATTTTAAGTCTTATCTTTTCTATTAATCACAGACCAATCTAGATTTTGTGGGTTAGGTTCCAGACCATTGCAATACAGTGAATATCACAATAAAGCAAGTCCCATGAAATTTTTTTGTTTCTCAGTGCATATAAAAGTTATGTCTACACTATCCAGTAGTCTAAGTGTGTGATAGCATTATGTCTAAAAACACAATGTACATACGTAAATTAGACAAAAATACTTCATTGCTAAAAAATGCTAACCATCATCTGACAATGCAGGGTTGCCAGAAATGCTCACTTTTGAAAAAAATGCAGTATCTGGGAAATGCAGTAGAGTGAAGCACAGTAGAACGAGGTATGTCTGCATATTTTCACGGCAGCAGTGATACTTTTATCTTTATCCCAGAAGTGTTACAGAACAAAAGGGATCAGAGATGTACATATAAGCTAATGTAATACTTCTGCTGATGAATATGCTTATGTGAAAATCAGCCTTGAATACAGCAACAATGAATTTCCTGTGCACACCACACTGTGTTCATAAGCTAGAGAAAGGAGATCTACCTCCAGAAGCAGCTGTTTTCATGAATTATGCATGAATAGAGCTTAAGGAATACCGTGTTACAGCATTCGTTAATTGGGTACCGTTGATAAAATTCATATATACCAACTTTGTTTCTAACTCTCTTTCCACACTTGTATGAAACAACACTTGACCTTTTTATGTGTGAAATGTAGTATTCTGCAAATTCAGTCATTAACATGGAGTCATTTGGTCTCCCTTCTAGCTTCACATTGCTTTTATTTATTCTGTGTACCATTAGAAGCTTTCCTTAAATATGTGATCAGAATTTCTGGCATTAACAAGTCATCTTTAAGATGAAATTTCTAAGAATGATGGACTTGTAGAACTCCATAGCTATGAAAGAAAAACATTGCATGCATATCATAAATACAGTTAATTGGTCAGGAAAAAAATCCTGAATGTAGCATAGTAGCCATAATTATCAAAATCCTCCACATATTAAAAAAAGGGAGGGACTTCCCTGGCGGTCCAGTGGTTAAGACTTCACCTTCCAATGCGGGGAGTGTGGGTTCGATCTCTGGTCGGGGAGCTAAGATCCTGCATGCCTCGGGGCCAAAAAACCAAAACATAAAACAGAAGCAATATTGTAACAAATTCGATAAAGACTTTAAAAATAATGGTCCACATCAAAAAAAAAATCTTTAAAAAAGGGGATGCTAAAAAAATAGTTTTTGAATTTTGTCTTCTTTTTTGTTACTCACAAACCAATCTATATTTTCATGGGAGCAATGATACATTTACCTTTATATAGAGGTTTATAGTTTACAAAACACTGTCCTGTACGTCATTGTCAAGTCATTGTGGTAATGGTGATTTATCAAAAGTCTGGTAGCAGAAAGTATGAGGATGCGGCAACATGGACACTGTTCCAGTGGATTAACTAGTCCTGGTTTGATTGAGAATAGGCTCCACGGGTTTTGAAAGGAGGTATTTTAAATCTGAGGAGGCAAGGTACTAGTTACAGAGAGTTGAAAGGCAAAAGCTTTCCAATATTCAATTATACTTCTAGAGACATAAGACACACTTTTAGAAGAAAAATATTGCATTTAAGCTCTTCAAGTTTTTGGTAGTTTTAGAGAGTTTGTGATTTTGGAAGACTTTTTACTTTTTCCATTCAAACCACTGGTGCATTTGGTAAAGGGAACAAGCACACAAGGGGTACATTGTAGCTACTCCTTAAGTGAACAAAGGTTAACAACTGTTACCAGGAGTGGGATTGCAGAAGGATGTGTGAGGATTTCCTACTCTGTCTCTCCTGAATGTGTAAACTGTAATCACTTTATCTGAGCCTAATTTATTCAACCCAAACCACTCCTGTAAAAGATGAATAGTACAGTAAAATCCCCGAAGTACAATTTAACCTTCTTTGAGGTCATAATTGACTTTATCTTGATTCACCTTCTTAACTTTCTTTTACCTTCCAAAGGTGAGCATTCAACTCCTCCAAAATATTACAGGCTTAGCCATCATACAGCCTTCACATTTGTAATCTTTCATTCTTATTTTCAGAGAAAAGAGGGAAACGTACACATGCTATGAAATTTCCATTTCAACAGCAACAGAAAATAATAAAAGGAAAACAAAATGTATGAGACTTATTTCTATAGCATGGGATTAGTCTTTGTCAATACAGCACATTTTCCCTTCAGGGAACTAACTTATTTTTTAAAGCGGTGGGAAAAGTTTATTAATTTTTTTCCTTACCACATTTCAGAGGTGAGTCCAGGATAACTGGTATTTATTTCAGTGTACATTTGGTTGTTTCCATGTGCAACCATATTATATAAGGTTTTCTGGATTGCTGCTAAAAACCAAGTACAACTATAGACTCTGGTGAGTCATACTGAGAAGTACCAGTGTTCAAAGTGTATCACTGGCCAAAAGTAGTTTATTGGCATCCTACATTAGGTTTTAACTTCCTGCACTCATGATTTCAAGGCAGAAGAAACAAATAAAATTCTGCCCTGAAATCACAAGCATTCTACACTGATGCCTTTGAGAGTAGTTACAGCACAACCTTTGCTAGGAGCCCAGATAGCCCCACCATTAGTCAATTGCTTATCTATAATCAGAGATGATTGTAACCATTTGATACCAAAACCCATCCTTATTGTGCCTCCACTTGTACTTCCTCAAGATTTCATGTTTGCAGAAGAGTGACTATGTGGGGAATGTCTGTGAAATTCTTAAAAGGCTTCTTTCTCTACAAGTAACTAAATTTGATATTTACGAGCTGAAGGTCATCTTCCTAGAGGACCTGGCCAGTCATTCCAAGAAGTCTGATAGTAATTGAAGCCAATAGGTTTAATTAATCAATACTTATCTTCTAAGGATAGTTCTGCATGTGGGGCATTAGAGTAGACAGTGTTCATCTGGAACTCTTGATGCAAGGGAAGGTTTGTGAATCTAGTGAAGACTATAAGTTGTTATAATAATTAAATCAGATAAAGTCATCTCAGTCTTTTCTGTATTTCATGCCAAAAGTACAGAGAAAAGGAGATACAGCCTCCTGGCAGAATCCGAGAGGAAGAGGGCATTTTTGCGTAGGGTTTTATCCTTAATGCCTGTGTTATATTGAACCATATACAGAATCTCGTAATGTATAGGTTATACACACACACACACACACACACACACACACACACACACACACGCATATATATATATATAATTTTTTTCACTGTATTCAGCTTTCTGGTATTTTGCAATACATAACTTCAATCTATTTGCTACTCTTCCATAGAGTCCAAGATGGACTTGAACAGCTCAGTTAACTCTGCTGGCTTAGTTTGGTACCAGTATGTTGTTATGTGCTTCTTCAGGGATGAGTATAGAGAAGATAATAGGTGAGGAAAGGAAAAGTGGAGTGGTGGCTGTAGAAGGGGTCCTGTTTTCAGGGTCATGAGGCTTTCAGAGAAGAGCTCTAATTATCTTAATATATCCAAGAAGGGAAATCAAGGGAAACCAAAGAAGGGGACCATGTTGGGGAAACAAATATAGACTATGACTTAACCTAACATGTTAGCTAACTAGTTTTCTCATTTCCCTAAATATCTGAATAACGTATCATTTATTTGTGTAAGATCTTTGGTAGCATGCTTTATAAATACTAGTTAACTATCAATTCTGTAAAGAGCGACCAGTATTGAACTGAAAAAGATTGGAGAGTAGTTCCTAAGAGCTAAAGGATAATTTTATAAATGGAGCACAGTTCCAAGCTTCAAGCTCTGTAATGCCTCAAAAGAGAGACTCGAGCGTCACACTTTGTAAGAGATTTCGTGTTTATGTTCATGCTCTGGAGAGGAGCCACTTGCCTTGAAATCGTTTGGTTCTAACCAAATGGTTCTAACTGCTGTGATGGTCTCATGGTGTGCGAGTACCACCAGGGCCCTGGAACCACGTAGCACAGTCCCCAAGACCAGTAGAAGAATGTTCAACGTACATCTATCAGGAAGTGTTCCCACTCTTGACCATCGGAAAGTCTACGGATGACTTACTGTTGGTTTCAAGACTCTCACAGAGTTCGCTTTTCACCTCGCCATTTGGTCTGTCATTTCCTTTTTGGATCAGTTTGCTTTGCATGGTGGCAGCTGTCACCACAGCTTTGAAGCTCCTCTTGCGTTTTTGAACATTCTGCTCTGGATGAAAAATTATAATATAAACCTTGGGCATGTAGAGCATGCCCAGAGACACCGAAGCACTTAAACTCATGGAGACAGTAAGTGTTGTAGTCTGGATGTACATCTGAAGAAGGAAAAAAACATAGAATCAATGTTGGTAAGCCTGACCTAAGATAAAGCAAATAATATAACCGTTTTCTGAGATTATTCCAGCTTCTCTGCTAACAGTGCATTAGAAGGCACTTATTAAAACTGCCCTTAATTATAGTAAAGCGTTCCTTTATCCCCACCTGCAAATGTGGGTAAAGTTGTATTGTTTATGAAGCCCAATTTTTTAAAACAAGCAAAAACAAACAAGTAAGCTGATGGAGCTTAGTTTCCTCTTTAGATTATAATTAAGCATATATAAGGAAGGGAACAAAATCAGTCTAGCAAAAGACTAATATTTTATGTCACACAAACCTTATTCAGGGAGGTATCACAAGGTCAAATGTTATTCTTTCAACAGTAAACCTAACCTAGAAGGTAAATTATATATAGTGGAAATAGAGTGGGAGTGAAATAGTCCAGATCATCACTATTGCACCCCATTGCTTGGATAATGTGAGTGTTTGCATCTTCACATAATTACTTAATTCCAGCTTCCAAATTGGATACATCACAAGCATGCCATAAGGGCTTGATATTTTTTAATAGCCCTCCTAAAGGATAATTCCAGAGGGTTTCTAGATGATTGCGTCAGATCAAAATAAATGTGGGTGCTTTTAGAAAATACGTATAAGACTTCCTCCTTCCAAGACTGAAATATGCCCTTTGGGGATGGGTCCTGACATCTGCATTTTGAAAAATTCTCCCCCTGTGCTCATTCCTTATCCTTATTTCACTGAAATTGACTGCTCTGGTACTTACAAAGAGAAGTCCCTCTGGAAGATTTTTCTTCCTGCAATCTAGAGGTTAATGAACTGAAAAAGTCAAACCTAAAATCACTGCTTTAGCTCTTTTCATTATGTTATGAAAACAAACATGACAGTATTTTAATCTTTTTTCTTCCCCAATGTTATTGCGGTATAATCAAACAATAGAAATTGTATATATTTAAGGTTTTATCAAAACTTGATGTTTTGATAAACATATATTATGAAATGATCATCTCAATCAAGTTAATTAACATATCCATCACATAGTAACCATTTTCTTTCTTTCATTCTTTTATTTTATTTTATTCTTTTGTGGTGAGAATGCTTAAGATCTCTCTTCACAAATGTCAAGTAAACAATACATTATTGTTAACTGTAGTCACATATTCATCTTGCATAACTGGAAGTTTGTACCTCTTGACCAATATCTCCCCAGTTCCCCTTTCCCCTGCCCCTGGTAACCACTATTCTGCTCTCGGCTTCTATGAGTCTGACTATTTTAGATTCCACACATAAGTAAGATCATGCAGTATTTGTCTTTCTGTATCTGACTAATTTCACTTAGTATAATGTCCTCCAGGTTCATCCATGTTGTCACAAATGGCAGGATTTCCTTCTTTTTTTTTAAAGAGTCAATAATATTCCATTGTATGAATATTTCACCTCTTTAAAAATAAAACCTTTGATCTGTTTACATTTTTCATGTCCTGAGCTGAAAATATAATTTCTCCCAAATAACTTGGAATACTGAGGTTACAAGGTAGCCATGTTTTAAGATGATGAAGAGAGCCCTTTATCATCTCCATGATTTTTTTTTTTTTCAGGCTTCTTTTGCTCAGCATAGTGTTTTTTTTTTTTTTTTT